ACCCGCTGTTTCTTGTTATTGAGAAAGTTACTCATACGGTTTATAATTTCATAATAAATCCCGAAACATTTCATCTTTAACTTAAGGACCAGGCGAGATATTTTGTCGAAGGTTTGCTTTGAACTATGAACATTAAACTCACTGAAATATTTCTGTTTTTCGCTGCATCCCAATCTTCCGTTGCAATTAACAGATTTGTCAAGCACGATATTCCTTTTCAAATATCATGTTGTTTGATAGATGGAAAGTTGTACTCTTCAGCGTAGTTTAGAATAACCATACGACTGATCTTTTCCATTGATTTAAAAACTACATAGGATGGACTAACGGGCTGACAGTTACTGACTAAGTCTCTACTCCCCAATCCATAAAGCGGGTTGGTAATTACGTCTTTCCACTCTCTTGACAAATAAGACTGCAGCAGAGATGTATCAGTGGCGTTGGGACGAGTTCAAAAACAACATTCACTAAGGATTTTGTAATGTCGTCAGGAACACTAGAATTATCTGGTTTGAGATGTTAAAGTAATCGCTATACAAATCCTTTCTTGATATCCAGACAGTACATCGACAACCCGCCATTATAATTGATTGTTAGCCCTGCACCACCGTGGGTAAAAAATGCTTCACTAAAACAGTCTGACAAAACATCAGTTTTCTTGACAATATCAACGGATTTTCTTGCAATAAATGTGGTGGGGTTGCTTCGCTTCTCTGAGTTTGCCTCTTTGTATGTGAGAACGTCTTCGGATTATCTTCACAATCCTTAACCACTTGTTTTTGTGTAAATGTTTAGCCTTAATTATCAACGTTTTACAAGCGTTCCTAGTCTTACAGTAAAAAGATTTGTAATGTTTTGAGCCTGTAGAAACAAACATACCCCAGTACTTTATTCAGCGTCTAAAACGTTTCTTGGCCTGTTTCATTATCCGTGGTGGGCATTTATTTGACCTACGTGATACTAAGCACGGTATAAATGAGGATGATACTAAGCTAGGTATACTTTTAACTATGAACCATGCTTCTCCAATAGATGAGCCATCATCCATTGTTACAGTGTACTCCACTATAGGCTGTATTTTTGCTCTCCACACATTTGGGCGACGCATGACCTGATCGTATATTATATCACAAGCTCTAAGCATGAAGCATGAAAAGAACCATGATTGCTAATTACTATCGGCTGAATGACATTTAGATAGGCAATATTCCCGGTCACATGAGCAATTACAAAGTCTAAGGACAAAAATCCCTGGTTAGAATCAAAACGTGCTGGCTCATGTGCAAACTGTACTGAACCATGTTCGATTAACGTCACCGGGGGGCTTACTATCGAAAGGAAGTTTAGATACGGCGGTGGCCATCCCTTTCCGACTAATATCGATTGCATTAAAGTCTTCTAACGTCAGGCATCTGTTATTTTTACTATCCTTCTCACTTAATTGAGACTGTCATAGCATCACTCCAAACTATGATTGCGTAAACATTTATTCTAGCGTCATATCTTACGTCAATAATAAGTTAGCTTTTCATAATTATATTCTATTTTATTTTTGTTATTAATTTGACGATACATACATAGTCGTTTATTCTTGTTGTGTTCATATACACGCTAAATAAACTATTTGCTTATTTCACGTCTCTTTTAGTTCTATTCCTTTATTTTCTCCCTTTCCTTCTTTAAACTCAATTCAATATTCTTCGCAATAACACAAAACAAGATTTATTATTTTTATTATTCTAATATTATTATTCTCTTTTTCAAATATGGCAAATATAATGCTAACATTATTGAAACTTGTGTATTATTGCATTTTTGAAGAAATTCGAAATGGTTTCTTCACAAAACTTAGGTACCCATAAGATGTTTGTGAATAATAACAATAACATTCGAGGAGATCAAGCCTTCCCCAGCCACACTGTGGTTAAATCTAGTCTTAAATTGAGATTCAGAATGGGAGTCTATGACGTATCAACCAAATGTGTGATATTTGTGGATTTTCCTCTGCTTTTCCTTGTTATTTTGACTGTTTTTAACTTTCCGCTACACTAGGGCCACTTGAAAAGATGATGGTTTTATCCAGGTCTTGAGGTAGTATTTTAGTAACCTGACTACCAGCATACAGTGGTATTTAACCACTTTTCCAATGTTTAGCAGCCGGATGTTTGACTCTTTCCGTAACGGCAAATACAACACTGACACATTATTTGCCACCGGAACTCATGCCTGAGGGCTCATCGTCTTCTAGATCGGCGATGTTTTACCCGAACGGTAAAACATTCAAAGTCAAAAGCAGTTGGGCTTTGAGCATCTTTTGTACGTGGTGTGGTTTAAAATGGTACACATATTGTGGAAACAGGTTCTATACTTATCATAGTGCTTTTCTCCCTCCATAGGAGATGAAAAATTTGACTGCCCATATCTATAAGTAAAGCCAATACTTGTTAACATTTAAAACGGTATAAGGTCGACAAAAATGCACTGTATAATCATCGTTATGACAACGAACTAAAAAAGAGTACCACAAAACAAATTTTGAGGAAAATTTAGAACCGTAAACAAAATAATTAAAGTTGGAGTACACAAATTACGTTTCTGACGCAATAAAAGTACAAAAGCAAAATCAATTCATAACAAGTATGAAATCACTCCAGCATGGAGTAACTTGAAGACGGCACAGGTATTCAGTGTTTGACAACGCTTTTACCAGCAACACCTAATATAAATTGTACCCACCGAGAGAAATCAAAAGATCGGAAGAGTGTATTTGGAGATTACCAATATATCGGAATTCTTTGATCTAATCTGGCTAGCGATTGCGATAGATGTTGAGCACAGTGTTACCACACGTGATCTGGTGCGGATGCATGACATAGCGCCTTCAGCTAGATGAGTCCACTAAAACATATGGTCAGCATCCAACGTCAAAAGCTTGCAGAGCTATTTAGTTTGAGGATTTATTTACCGCTACAGATGGAACGTAATCACAGATCACTTTTCAAAAAACCAAGATGTAAACTGTGGTTGACCGTATACTATATAGGCCGGGTTTAGGCAATTGTAATGAACTTGAATACGTGACAGAGAATCGTCTCTCGTGTCTTCCATTAGGCATGCAGATTGTGCTGAGACTAGATATTTCGTAAGACCTGCTCATTCTCTGTGTAGCTTAGTAACTGTCACTTGCCAGTTGTCTTGCTGTTTTTATTCATGCTACTTGCATCGGTAACTCTGAAACTCAATTTTCACATGTCGATAGCACGATTCTTCAGCTAATTTTGATAACAATACAGATACAGAGTTTCCTCTCTCGATTAAAAACACTCACTTTTTGTTATACGTCCAAAACTTACAGATGATATATAAATATACCAAAACTATGCCTTAAATAATGAAAGAGACCCATATAAAACGTCCTTGTGGATTGCATAATTGTCGGCACTAGTTGATATCTTCTAAAGTGCTCAGTGAATCGGGTCCTAACGCCTGCATTAGAGAGAATTATCTAGTAGTTTGAATGTTGATAAAAACGGGAGATTAAATGTATGATTTTTGACACATAGTATTACTTCCTTTTTTAAAGCAAGTATACTTGGATGTGTTTTGAAGGATCTTCTAGATGTCTTAACTAAGGTACTGAATATCCATGATAGTATTGAATATTGAACAGGCTGTTTCCTCACTAGTGACTGACTTCAGGAAGAACTCCCGAAGTTCTAGAAAGAAGCCGTTACCAGTGGAGTTCACCCAGGTCTGTTTTGAGATAGGAACTGACTGAAAACATTGGTGTACGGTGGCGCAACTTCGTGGATTGGTTGAAGTTAGACATTAACACCGTTGGATGCAGGCTCAGTGGTCTAGTGGTTAAATGCCAGCGCGCGAGGCCAGTAGGTCTTGGGTTCGAGCTTCGCGTGGTGCGGGGTCGTGGATGCGCACTGCTGAGGATGGAACGGCCATCCAGTGCTTCCAGGTTTTCAATGGTGGTCTAGCTTCAACTGACTCATGACTTCAAACTGTGAAATTAGGTTTTTCTTAAATTCGTCACATAGGCACGCTTTTCTTTTCGTGTCCACGCAAACATAACAGTTCGTCCTCGACCTCAATTGTCTGTCACCACTAACTGGAATAACGAATATCTACGTAGTAAAATACAAAGAAAAACATATTCACTTTTGTCTGTTAGTATTATATGTAAAATCAATGCACAGAACTTCTGGATATTTCCTGTACAACTGTATTTGTTCATAACTACTGAAACATATTCTCGTGGCATATCCATTTTCTAAATGTTCTCTCAATTCGCCTTTTCGTCTCAGCATATCCATTACCTGTTTCCGAGTACAACAACCCGAAATATATTTATATGCACTTACCAGTGGACAGTTCACCATTCATAGCTTTGACATCGGCAGCGGTTACTTGCTTACCAGTTCTCTCCTTAATACTTTCGATAACTTCATTTGATGACTCACAGTGCAGTATTACTGCCTTCAATTTCTCTTTTTCTTCTGATGATAATCTTCTTGTCTATGGATCACATACCATCCATGAACTACTACATGGATAATTGTGAAGCATGTTGTAGGATTTGATGACATATCCTTGCTCCTCTAGTCTTACACGGAAATTAGATTGGGGATTACCAAAGTTAGACCTTAAACATCAGATATTAGTTAAAGGTCTTACGATTTTTGCTTCACTTTCAAACCTTCCGATTTCCGTTTATAACCAAACGTACAATGAAACGTTACAAACAGGTATTTGGACCTGACATTTCGTTGAGGTTTACTACAGTTGTTGGGATCACAGATAAAATTGTAAAGTAACAACAGAGCCACAGTGTACACTACAATACAGAGAATGCTAAATTAATGCTTTTGTTAGTTATTTCGTGCTTTTTGTGCAGCATAAGATGACTTATATATAAAAAAACTTGATACTCATGCAGTTCAACCAACTCACGGCAATTGAAATACGGAATGACCGCCTCTAGTCAGGCCGTTCAAGGTCGTTGAAACGAAGAGGCGGGCACATTCGAAAAGATCTAACGTTTGAACCGTGCCGCCATGTCGGGTAGGACTGCTCTGTTCGGAAGACCTCAGCAATCTCAAACACGACATTTACTGCAATTCAAAGCAGGGAAAATGACGATTGGTGACGATAATTGGGTTCATGCTGACCCTCGCAAGGGATGGGTATATGTTTATCAGTCCGGGGACGGAAAGTTACACTTTTGTTGGATCGATCGCAAAACGTTTCTTGTTGAAGATGTAGGTGTACTTCCATTCGCATAAATTATTAAGTCAGAATTTCGTCATTAATGCCAAACAGGCTGAGTTCCAAAAGATTCCACAATGTACAACGGGTAGAGTTTATCTTCTTAAGTTCAAAGGTCCCAAACATTTTTTCATCTGGATGCAAGTAAGTTCTATTCTTCAATCCATTTTCAAAGGAACCCAACGGAAAAAATGATAGTGATATTTGTTCAAGAATAAACGACTACATTAGGTCTCCACCTGCACAAACTACAACACTCTCAAGTAAATATTCTGGACCTCAATACATTTTTAGGTGACTGGCTTAGTCGTTTTGAAAGTCTTAACCAACTTTCTCACAGCGATATTCTGGCTTTGTTGTGTAAGTTGTAATTATTCTTTCAGATCTGTCAATCTTAGCGATGGGGGTAGGGCTTGGAAGTGGATTAACTCCGGAATCTGATATGTAAGTTTGACAAGACTTAGTATAACAACTCATTTTTATCTCTAGTAGTTTTAATATAGTGTGGATACTTCGCTGAACTTATTTGGGTTTATCCTACTAGATAAATGGAATAATCTATGAATACATGGTTAAGCTTTCCGAAGGTTTGAGACAAAGCCTGTCTGGTCGCATCACGACCTTAAATTGACTCGACCTGTTTAACACATGCTTCCCATAGATGTCTGCGATCTCTAGGCAATGAAGGGATTTACTTTTCGAAGATTACGTGACTTGCTTAAAAAATCTAGTTTCATGACAAGTCTATTCCCATCACATAAAGCCTAAAACTAAGCTTCTGAACAAAAGTGGCGTTGCGAAGCAACAGCCCAGTCACTTTGATTACAGTATAACGTATACCGAGTACAGATATTTAGTTTCGTCTTTGGTCCATGATTTATTTATATCATAGTATTACCCAGTGGCGTAAACTGAAGCTAAAGCTGTATGCCTTCACCACATGAGAAGTTAGTTGATATATGCAGAGAGGGAACTGTCTGTTGTACTAAATAAGTTCTGCGTTCGTCAACTTTGATACATTATAGCAGTCTCAATTACCTGTACTTGTTGTCTGTCGTAATTAAATCATTACCGGATTGAAACTAAGATAGTTGATTTACACTAACACTATGCTAACTGACAATTCAAAGTATTACTTAGTCAGTTTTCTGGGCTTTTTAAGTGTATACTCAGCACTTCATTTTGTTTAGTTCCTGCTACTCAATTAAACTACGTATTGTTTTGTAATTTGTTTACAGATCATCTGCTCAAGCGAATGCTGTAACAATCGGGCGTCATTTAAATACGGGACACCTAGATGAATCTAATGTATCTACATCTGTCATTGGGACTACCGCTACACCATCTTCAGGAACTTCATCCACTGGCGCTAACTCTCTACGCCCATCTGTAAGTTACGTAAAATTGTTTTAATTTACTTACCCTACAGTAGCTCCTAGTTAAACCTTATGTTATTGACGTTTCGGGATTCTTCCGTAGTCATACTACGGAGGATTGTTTGATGTGTAAGCTTTGCGCCTACATTTTATGAACGTTCTCCCCGGTACAAGTTAACTAGTCTGAATGAGCTGTTTAATATTCTAAGTGTTCAAATTTAAGGATCAGCCTGGAATTTTCGTTACAGTCTGATATTCTAATCAAACCTCGCACTTTTAATGGTATTTTCCTAAATCCTCAAACAGTCTAGAAAACAGTCCAACTGACCTTGAGCCGCACTTCAGTTACTCACTATCTCCAAGCAACATGAATGGAAAATTGATCTAAGTCCTTTGACTCTTAATGAGGTTGAAAAGTTTATCATCAACTTAAAGCGATAGGAAGAAGAAGGGCCTGGTGGATTAACTCCTGATATCTTTGGGGGTGGTAGTCCAGTTTTAGCAGTCAGATTATCTGAGATCCTAGCTAAAATCTAGAAATTAGACATTATCCCATCTGACTAGTCTCGATCGCTGATCGTCTTTGTCTATAAGAAAGAATAAAAATTCTCTGGTGATGATCACGGAGGGATCAGTTTAACAAATCTAGTGTCTAGAATATTGACCTCAATAATACTTTGACGTCTACTTAAAGCTCGTGAAAAGCAAACCGGAGGAAAATAGTCTGATTTCAGATGTGGACGTGAATGTGAAGACCAAATATTCCTTGACCTTAAGGTGTGGTTCGACTCTGTTGACCGTGATATTCTGTGGCACTTTTTCAAGGAAAGATGTCCCAAAGAAGTACATTAACTTGTACGTCCCCTCTAATCGAACACTACTGATCGAGTCAGAGCTTATGGTGAACTGTCACAAGTGGTTATCTCAAGTGTTCATCAGGATTTTCCGCTGTCCCCGTTAGCTAATGTATTTCGGTGTATCTCAGACGAGGAAAACAAGACATTTAAGTTATTTAATAAAAAAATTTGTAAATGGGTACTAGACTTGTCGATAAAAGTATAGGTAATATACTACATCTCAAAGCTAATTGTTAAAATACACTAGCACCTAGAAGTGTTGTAAATACAATACTGTTCATCGGCAAATAGTCTGTTTACTAGTTTAGAGGTCATGAGTATTCTTGTTTTTTTTCCAAGGGATTCCGAGTTAACATACAAACGTTTTTGATAGTCACAACTGATGTTACTTTCTCATAACAGATGTTTTCTCCACTCTTTCCAGAAGACAACCGATAAACGACTTGAAGCTGGGAAAATACAACTTCAGGATTTGAGAAATATCCTCTCATCAATCTCTACTGGAATACGGAGTTCATGTATGTAATGGTTTAATTTTATAGACGAAAAACTTGACCAAACTTTTATACTGCAGAAATTTAGTTAACAAGAAAAACTGTTACATAACTCACACATACTTTCACCAAAAGTAAATATCAAGATCGTATATATGCTGTTTTAACTACTCCGAACTCACTGATTATGATTTTTTGTTAAGTCATCCTTGACCTCATAAGACGTATCGTAAAACCGGATGATGAAATCAGCCATTCAAATTATTTCGTCAACAAGCGTTGACTGCATACGGATGGTAAATTTCCAAAGCTGAGTGAAATAGTGGACCCCATAAAAATAATGTAGGTGCACATTAATCGGTTGAGGTCTTCGCGAATATCTCTATCAACGGTTAAAGACTCAGAGTAACATTGCTCATAATCCATCTCAGGTGAATTCTCGTTTCATATCCCCTTAGATTTAGGTTTTGAAAGTGTATTTTGCTTTTTAGTTCACGAATACGTTCTCCCTTCCTGAATTATATTTTTTATGTGTAATGCTTTCTACTAGCACTAATACTGTTACTACTAATATTTTGGAATTCGTCTTGATTTCATTTCTCTGTGGATATATGGTATAGCAAATTAAGCTGATGCACACATGCCAGATTTCTCTGTTGCTTATGACTGACAGTTTGTTTGATCATGTCTAACTAACAAGAGGAATATCGAAGGATTTGATAGTGTAAACATTTACTTATTGAAGATTATGGTTTAAAAAGGGTATGTATGAAAAAACTGGAACTCAATATCTAGGGAAAAAAGAAAACTAAATGCATTCGCTCTAGTGCGACCGATTTTAACTTGTTTTATCCAACGTTTGCTACCACTGATCTTATTTATCGTGCAGACTCCAGTCATGTGGTCTGAACGTGTCAACAGGTCTCAATCCATGTCAGTAATGTCATAAACTGATGCTACGTTTCAGCCTGATCACCCTTAGATTTCATCCAACTCGCCATCGCGCGCGTTGTAAGCCTAACATTTCACAGCCAGACTAACATCAAAACTACACAAAAGATGGCCCAAGTTGGTATAACATTTTTTAACTTTCACCATACATAAGCTGATCTCACTTGATACACCATCAGTATTCATACAACTGCCCAAATACACAAACTCTTCAACTATATTTGGAGGTTCACCACAAAGGATGAGTGTAGGTACAAGCTCCTATTAGTCTTTCAGAAGTACTTTGTGTTTATAGGATACAAAATACCTGTATTTATACTAGCTGCCAACTGATGAAGTGGGATTTAGATGGCATTATATCATCTTATAATAAAACAGTTTTGCCCGCGTACTCATGGTCGAAAAGTCTTTCTTCGAGCAACAGATTTACATCACATACGTTCTGCAGAGCTCTTTCTAGAGTATTGCCGTTGGCAATGTGGAGGAAGGTTGGAAAGGTTGTGCGATCCTGCATAACCCCATTGCTGGACCGGAACAATGGGGAGAAGTAATTTAACACTTTCCCTCAGGTGTTTGCATATAAAGCCTTCAAGGTATTAATAAACTCAGACATACTCTTAGATTACTAATCCCAAAGCACAATCGGTCAGTGATCTTAAGTGCTGTTAGAGATATGGGGGCGGTTATTAATCCCCGGTTGTTCACATCGTGGAAGGGTTCTTTTAGAGGTACCTGGAAAGAAAATTGGGTTAGAGATGGTCTTAATGACCTGAAAGCGTGACCGCAGTGCCCAAGGGACAACTGCTTAAAGTCGGTCACACGCGACCATTTTGTGAATAATTTTCGTGCTAGCTCTGTACTTGTTGAGACCTTGCCGCCGGAAACGGATATCCGCGGGATAAGACGGGATGTCCATTTTTATGACCGACCTCCTCTAACCCCACCCCTCCTTGTGGGAAGGCAGCATCGCTGTTGTGCTGGTTGTCTGAGGGAAACACCTTACTGCCGTCCCACCTCTGTACAGCCAGCAGTACGACTTCGCATTCGGACCTTGGGTTTGCTGCTTTTAATCCTACCGCTCTTCAACCGACCTGTCTGGCATAGTAGGATTGTTTCAGCCAGTGCAGCTCGATTGGTTCATCACGATAAGCAAGCCCAACCACCATTTCAAGGTAGCAACAACGATCGAGAAAGTTTGGGTTCGCCCGGGATTTAAAGCGCAATTCTGTTCAACGAGTCAAAAGGAACCCTATTATCAAGTAACAACGACCGTCGACCTGTAATAAGTGTGACAGTTGAAGATTTGATCGATACATCCACAATGTAATCGAAAACTATTCCGCTCCTCGCAAATACTCACAGGTTTTGTACAATCTGTGGGGTATAGCTGTTGCCAGTAACTTTAAAGCGATGAAGAGCATACTGACGCTCCAGTAACTGTTGCATAAGTCAAGAAGGCTTTTTTTAAAGATAGGAATGATGATCTCTTTATTATAAAATGATCATATTCCTGTTTGCAGTCTTTCCAGTTAACATAGTAAGTTTCTTGACCAGTGATTCGTCATTATCGCTATAAAGGGCCACGGACAGGCTGTTTGGATCTGGTGACTTGAAATGCTTCAAAAGTTCCTCCCGTCTCTTAGATTGAACAACATTACCCTTCAATTCCATAATCTCTGAATAAGAGTTAGAAAGGAATAAAAAATAGTAGTGGGTTAGTTAAAATGGTGCGACTGGTATTGATTTTTTTTACAATGCATTGATAATGAATTTCAATTAAATTAAAACACTGGGAGACTAATCTTTCTAATGATTTTTTTTACCGTAGTTTGGTTTGATTTTATCGCAGGATCTTTCTTGACTAGTTATGTGGTATTTGGTTTGGAGTGTTACACATTACGAATCTGTTTGCTGTTGTTAGTCTGTAACTGTACACATGTTAAATTAACTACGAGTAAAATTTTATTGCACTTAGCCAGAACTTCTGCTTCTGGTTTTGGGAACTTTTAAACAGTAAATGAAATGAATTCATACATGGTTGTTTTAATTAGTTTTCCTATTATTTTACATTACTTGCACAGTTATACTGTTTAATCGTTGATAATGTTCTTATTCTCTATAGCAAATGATGCAAAGGTAGAATTAAATGATGTCTTAAACGTAGATAACTTACACTCACTTTTGAATAAGCCGGATATTCAAGAAAGATTGTTGCCTCATCTTCCTCCTCTGGATCCTGAATCAACGAGTACAAATGACTTGGAAAATATTACTGCAAACATTCAGTCATCTCAATTCAAAACCACTTTGAAAGTAAGGGTTAGATATGTTTTAGTTTCAAAAATAATTTTGTCCGTTAACAGTTCAGTTGACCAGGCACTTCTTTCATAGCTTAATATTCCTAAACATTCTAATTTAAATTATTCTTATTATTCTAATTCCTAAAAAGTATCAAATTGATCTCATCATTTTAAATTTAACTGAAAGGTATATTTTGGTTCAGTGGATATTCAGTCACACACTTTCTGTCTCTATTTTTCTATACTTATTTCCTTTTAGACATTTGTTGGAACACTAATTTGAATGCGAAATATTTTATTAACTGTTGATCCATTGACAGAGTCTGCTTATATTTTTCAACCAACTTTTAAATGATCCTTAAAAAGTGTAGATAAATATCTCTGTTTCCATTGTTCTATATTTCTTAAAATCGTAGTGACGGTATGTTCCTGTAGCACTTAAAAAATAATTCATAGTTAATTGACGAACTGTCTAGTGTACCGAATGTGCTCACTTCCATACATAATGGCTTAGTGTCACCATGTAGACTAATTTGATTGAGGTAACAAACTGTCAGGGATTATCGCTCCCCTTCACATCATAAATTTTAGCTCAAAACCAAATACATCAGTCTTCATAGCTTCAGTATTGTCCCCTCATTTTTATCCCACTATTTCATTCGAATTGAACTTTATTTTTTATGCATTTCAACCCCCTTAACTTCCCATCTTATTACTTTCGTGTTATACTGATGTGAACTGTAACAATTGGAACCTGTATATTTCTCTAGGTTCTGCTTAATATCAAAATACGCCCTAGAAACTTGCTTAGGCTGAAGGTTATTATCGTATTATAAACTTGAGACAACTAACTGATCCCACTTTAACTGTTTCTGAATAGGGATCGACCAGTGTTTGAGATAGTTATCCCAAATATTCACTAAAATATCTGTCTTGGATGTCCACTTGTTGAGTTTAGTCAATCATTTGGTTTCTCTATAGGATACTATCCATAGATTATTAGTTCAGCGTAAAGATACTCAAACTTATTACCTTGATTTTTGCACAATCTAATAAAGATTTGAGAGCTACACTGATTTCAAATATCACCGTAAAAGTTCATGAGATTTCACGTCTATTCGCACAATACACAGAATCTTCTACATTTGTTCTTTCCGCTTATAGCGCGAACTGTCTTGAAACTGGGGTTAAAAGTTTAAAGCATCTACACCTTTATTTCAGGTATTACTTAATTTACGATAGATCCAATTATATTTTTATTGCATATATCACTGTTCACTTTTGTTAAGATTTCACTCTTTTTATTCGTTTTTGTTACTTAACTAGCTTCCTCACTGTATTCGTCTTTTGTAGTCCTTCTCAGCTGCTTTTCGAACAGGTGAACTTGCCCCGGTTTTGGCTCAATTCAATTTGGGTATAAAAGCCGATGAAGCTGCAAGACGAGGTGGTAAGTCTGTCAAATGGTTTTTCTTGCCTGAACAAATGATCTATACCAATATGATTTTCCTGTATGTATCGTTTTATACATAAGCAGCCCTAATTACTTCTGCCCATCTTTTTGTAATTAGTTGGGTATAATGTCAGTTCAGTAAACTATTACTTACTTACGCCTGTTACTCCTAATGGAGCATAGGCCGCCGACCAGCATTCTCCAACCCACTCTGTTCTGGGCCTTCTTTTCTAATTCCATCCGATTCTTTTTCATTTTTCTCATGTCTATCTCCATTTCTCGGCGTAATATGTTCTTTGGTCTTCCTCTTTTCGTTTGGTCTTGAGGATTCCATGTGAAGGCTTGTCTTGTGACGCGGTTGGGTGCTTTCCTCAATGTGTGTCCTATCCACTCCGAGCGCTTCTTCCTGATTTCTTCCTCCGCTGGGATCTGGTTTGTTCTTTCCCACAGTTGGTTGTTGCTAATAATGTCCGGCCAACGGATCTGAAGTATTTTGCGTAGACAACTGTTAATAAACACCTGTATCTTCTGGATGATGGCTTTCGTAGTTCTCCAGGTTTCCGCCCCATACAGTAGAACTGTCTTGACATTTATATTGAAAATCCTGACCTAGGTGTTGCTCAACAGTTGCTTTGAGTTCCAGATGTTCTTCAGTTGTAAATATGCTGCTCTTGCTTTACCGATCCGCGCTTTCACATCTGCATCAGACCCATCATGTTCATCAATGATGCTGCCCAAATATGTAAAGGTTTTTACATCTTTCAAATCTTCTCCGTCAATTGTGACTGGGTTGGTGCATGCTGTGTTGTATCGGAGAATCTTGCTTTTCTCTTTGTGTATATTGAGACCTACTGATGTTGAGGCTGCTGCTACACTGGTCGTTTTCTCCTGCATTTGTTATTGCGATAGGAGGGCCAGATCATCTGCGAAGTCTAGATCGTCCAACTGCATCCTAGATGTCCACCGTATCCCGCGTTTCCCTTCAGACGTTGACATCTTCATGATCCAGTCGATCACCAGGAGAAAGAGAAAGGGTCAGAGTAAGCAACCTTGCCTGACACCAGTCTTTACCTCGAAGGAGTCTGTCAATTGTCATCCATGCACAATTTTGCAGTTTAATCCATCATAGGAATTCTGTATGATATTGACTATCTTCTGAGGCATGCCGTAGTATCGAAGAAGCTTCCATAGTGTTGTTCTATCCACGCTATCAAAAGCCTTTTCGTAGTCAATGAAGTTGATGTAGAGTGATGAATTCCATCAAATTGATTGTTCCACAATGATCCGTAGAGTTGCGATTTGGTCTGTACACGACTTATCCTTACGGAATCCTGCCTGTTGGTCTCGAAGTAGGGCGTCTACGGAGTCCTTCATTCTGTTTAACGATACCCTGTTGATGCCTCTGTAGTTATCACAGTTGCTGAGATCGCCTTTCTTTGGTATTTTGACCAGAAGTCCTTTCTAGTCTGTTGGTACTTGTTCCTCATCCCAAATCTTATTAAAGAGAATGTGGAGTATCCTTGCAGTTGCCGCTACGTCTGCTTTTAGTGCCTCTGTTGGAATGTTGTCCGGTCCTGCAGCTTTGCCACTCTTGAGTTGTCTGATGGCCATGCTGATTTCTTCAATTGTTGGTGAGCCAACATTGATTGGGAGGTCTGTGGCTGCTGCTTCGATACCCTCTCTTTCATTCATACCGAGCGCAAGACAGCACTGATATTGATTTAATGAGAATTACATCAACAAACTGTCATTTATGGACTTACACTTATTATCAATGTAAGACTTTGTGGGTTTCAATGTAGAACCACAATAAAGTATTTGTCTGAGATGGATTAAGATTGTAAACTAGACGACAAAGAAGATCAGAATGGTTACCATTCCTCTTGGGGTACCACATATGATCTCGTGTTATTTCTTGACTAAGCTGACGTGGCCATGAAGTTTGAGAGCCAGGACCTACAGTTGGTTATATGTTAAATGGTATACAATGACGTTTACTTCTGTGTTGGCGTCGTCTAGGCATTTTGATTTTATTGGAAAAAGTTTATCCCATCGACGAAGAAAATCATACTCCACATAGGTTAAGAACACCTATCACCCATGATCATAGTCAAATTCGTTAATAATGGCTAGTTGAGTTACAATACAAATTAAGAATTAAGATATACCTTGCCAGTGAGGGACAACTAGAATAAAACCTAGGTCCATGGTTTCCTCCTAAATGAATTCAACCACCTGTCTGGTTTGTAATTACAACAGCTCTTGCTATATACAGTTCGGTATATAATATCGTACTGATGTCTATTATCAATAAAAAACTCGCCTGTTTAGAACCATCCATACGCGTCACTAATTTGTTCATAGATTTTCCAGAACCTCGAGAGGAATTCGGTACATATAACTGATTAGATTTTAGTGTGCTCATTTTTGGTTTTCTCTTGCGAGTTTGAATCCCTTCTTTCTTCATAGATATTGGACGGTTTATCTGAGATCGTAAACAAAAGAAAATATTCCAGGAAATTATTAATCACAGACCAAAAGTATTCTTCTAAACAAATGACCACATTTATTGGGTTGAATAATAAATCCAAATATAAAATTTATGGTTAACGGTCCTTCCTATTTAAATTTCTTTAACACCATGTTTCAACGAAGTCAACTGTTTAATTTATATGCATATATATGTATATTTGCCATAGTGAATTTCAAAGCTGAATTAATACTAGAAAACTGGAAATTCTTGACTCATGTTACGCTAGAATATCAGGCTGATTATTAATGGAACAAATTGTGCAGCTCATTTAGATGTTTTTGGTAGTTTTGTGTTGATTAAATTGAGTGGTCTATTTTAGACCACATCTTTAGTGATAAATTCAACATCACTAAGATACAGAAATATTGATAATCCGATCAATTAACTCTGTTTTATTCTTATTAACTTGGAGCATGATAAAAGAATATTGGACCGTGTCTTAACTGTGGGCTTAACGTGCTATTCAGAAGTAACTAAGTCACATTTACAGTATTTTCGGAGACAACGTGATAACAACGATAACATAGGATTGAGATACCTTTAATCACATTCACCATGTTTAAATCTTTCTATGCATTTTATCACATCCTGTCAACCTAAATCATTTCCTGTGTGTTTTATCAGTGACTATGAAAACTCTTTCCAGTAATTAACATTTAAACAAATAATTTGATAGAATTTTTCTGCATATATTTTAACTACTATTTTAATATTCAGTAACTTGAAAATGCAACCAAAACCAGGCTGCGTATCCAAACATAGTATACGAGTAAAATATGAATCATTGGAAAACTCTAAGTTATCTTACACACTTTTATTCATTAAAAGCAGAGGAATTCTTTTAAAAAATAACATGGTTGCTGAATCACCTGATTTTATATATTTCACTGTGTTAGCTGTGAAGTAATGCGCTATATCAGCTTGATAAGTCATAAGTCATCCAAAGAATTCATTCATCCCAAAGTTTATTTTAGTTTTGTATTCATGAAGAGAAATTTATGCCAGGTCTGTTTTGCTACCAGTAGAGATGAAATTTTATTGGCTTCCTTATGATTTTTATACTCATTTTCGTTTAATCGTTTATTATATGGTAATTGATTTATCACTTTTGCTCAATACTTTTAATGAGAATGACTCTCCTTTAGTCCCTTCACAATACGTTTGGTCATTTGAATGGTAGATCTATCATTGGTTGTTTTTTTCGGCTGAGATTTTGCATTTGGTTCAATCAACAAATTATTGGTTAGGTCATTTCAGTAATTTTGATAAATTTATCAAATCGATGGAGTATTCACAATATTTTGATATTCCTTAGTTTGGCTTGGTTGAATAGATAAAAGGTAATCATTCATGTGGCCGATAGACAAAACCAGCTCCATCTTTATTACCGAACATAATTTACATTTTTGAAGTAGTACACAGGGTTCCCAATAAATGAGTGAACTATGATCATACAAACATCATCTTACAAAATTTAAAGGACATCAATCTCGTTTTTTTCGAAGTACTTCGATTTGTGAAAGTATAGTCGTTTCATCTCCCTTTTACTATTTGAAACATCCTAAAATATTTTCGAAAGTCAGCTTTTTCAGCTACCTGATCGTTTCGTCATTTTTATATAAGATTTTCTCAACATGAATGCTTTGCTAGAGTTTTATCCGAAACAACTTTCTTGGGTTCGGTACATGAAGAACCATTCGAACAATAAATCGGATATCAGAAAATATTTTAGACATCAACATTCTATGTTCTAAATAACACAGCTAATGATCAGGTTTGCCTTGAACTCTACTTAAAGTCTCAGTGAGCTTTACTTAAAGTCTAGACTTACCAAAAACGAGCTGTTTTCCTCAATTCTATATATTCAAAAGCAACCCTAAACATCTGATAAATCTATTAAGAGTTGTCCTGAAGTTTCATCAAGAAACTAAATAGTTTAGTTTACATACTCATCGGACAGAATATATATTTTTCTAGCGGATAAATTCCCAGACATATTTTATATGGCATATCGAAAATATATGACTTTGTTCCATCGGGTGTGGAGAAACCAATGCTCATACAATGATAAAGTAACACGATTCATAAGACTTATTTTGTTTTCAAGTGGGTTAAAGCAATTATGAACGTTTTTGTTATCTAACCTTGTGCAGTTTATAATATAATCCACATGCATTACATACTGGTTCTCCTTCCGTATTACGACGCCATAGGGTTGTTGCTGAAGTATTACAATTGGTACAAAATTGTCCTGAACGACGTGTAGAGTTTGGAATATTTAACTGATGATGATAAAAAAGAAAGAAAGAATTGATAGATCATGTAAAGTATTAGTAAACAGTGGTTGTAACTGCCATAATAGATTCATGAAAAAATATCTCAGTATATTTTTCTTCAGTGGGAATTAACCAATAATAACTTAAGATGAAAGATGAGATAAGGATATTTCAAAACTCATTCGAATAAACAAAGTTTTAAATTAAGCATTCTGGTATTAACTAAAGAATGGAAACTGGTGTTGAATATACTTAAAGTCAAAGAAGATTAGTAATGAACATTTATTGAGTTATCTTTCAACTAATAAGTACGGTATACCAAGCTATTTATTGGAGACAACTGATATGATCATACTTTAAGTGTGAAATATCATAAAAAGTCATAATGAACAGCGAGCACCTTTTTTCAATAGATTCTCGTGTTATCTGACTCTCTAGGGATTAACGTAACTGATTTTATTATCCAATTGTGTTCCATTTTAAGAGGGTGGATCCATTATTAGATAAATAATAGGATTAATTTTCTATGTTCTATAATTGATTCACCTTGAAGGTAAAAACTAGAGACTTTTACCAAAGTCGTTTCAGTTCTTGAAATACACTTATGCTTTCCAGTATGTTTTTTTCTGATACCCTACTCAACTATTAGTTAATTGCTAGAAAAGGGAAAGTTAGTGATGTCTTCTGTGAACTATGCAAAGTAGTATAGTTATGATTTACCGTGAACTAACAACTTACACCATGTACTACTTCTACGTAGTATTAAAAGCTTAATAATACACAATTACATGTGTCATGCTTTCATATCACATAGTCCTGATGAAAGAGAATGAAGTCTTTAACATAATTCAATGATTAATGTTGAAAGAAATCCGTTCCTCACAATAAAGTAGCATGATTATTTATATTACTTTCTCGATGACGCGAAAAATCTAAAGAACAAATCCAGGGCTTACTGAATTAGATGACTTTGAGATCTTTACTTCACTATGTATTGGATCGATTGGTTCCCTAGTAACAGCCACATCCTTCGTTGTATATTGTGACCATGTAGAATAGTTTGAGATCTCTTGAGGTGATTGTATTTGCAAGTGTTTATCTGATGAAGAACGTAAAAACATAGTAAACAAACAAATCACAATTTCACATGTAGGTCAAGTGTTAATTAAAAGAGTCCGATATTTAAATGTGAACTTTTAGACCAACAAGAAACTCATAAATGTTCCATTCAGTCTTTAACAAAAAATGTGAAGCAATCCTCCTAACAAAAATGTGAAAGTTATTCACCGACGAGTGAGTCATACTTATTTATTGTTGAATTCTCTAGGAACAAAATCACATCTTTTACAATTGCAACTACTTCACTCGGTATGCTTGATATCAAATAGCTTAACACAAATTACGACCTGAAGAAAGTGTTCGAGTATCTCTTTTTATCAATAGTTTCTACAATATTTTCGTCGCTGACAGTTATCACTGTAAATATTCTTTGGTTCACACACCTCTTCAGTGAACATATATAATAATAGAGGGCGTAATAAATAAGTTAACGAAGATTTAGACCACAAATACTAGGACATGATTTCAGAAAGCATGATTAAGCTTTATTCCGTATTCATTAAATATATTCGAAAACTCTCAGGTTAAATTAATCTCTATTGTGTAAAATTAAACAAGATTAATAAGTGTATGACTATTAGAGCAGTGAATAATGAGTCGTCTATAAATTATCACCATCATCAAAGTAACAGTAACAATCTTACTGTTATTTGATGGACTAATATAATACACAATTAAAGTAGAAACCACGCCTTAACGGGGAGTTGAAGTATAATTCCGGGGGTTTGCAAACTATAAAAGACAACTGTTGAGAAAAAATACAAACGCAAGTTAAAAGTCACTCATGATGATTTACAGGTTTCATAAGGTAGATCTAGGACAGTCATTTTGAACCAAGCTCATCCATGATGTTTCAGCTGGGATTTGACTCCAATTGCTTAATTTTTTCGGATCATTTGAATCTTGATGGTTTTCAGATGAAATCCTATTATTATTATTATTATTATTATTATTATTATTATTATTATTATTATTATTATTATTATTATTATTATTAACGAACGGTTTAACTAATTCTTGTCTTTCAGAAATTTTTACATTAATCTTGCTACTTATTTTATCTCAAATGACTAGCGGTGACTATTCATAAAACATTATCAGCATTATGTAATTAGACTGTTACCAAAAACTTGTACGACTACTGTGTGACAACATGAATGCTCATCCGTACAGATATTCATTTCATATTGCAAAAACCTTAATATTAAATATTTATGCACATTACGCAAAATCAACAACATACCACCAAAAATTTGAAATCAACAACTTACCTATCTCATTAAAATTGTTCGTAGGATTGAATATAAATGAAGGATCTTCAGAGTAAGATTTGACATCATTCCATATAAGAAAAGACAAACTCCCATTTTCTTGATCTAAACCTGATCGATTTCTATTCCGTGTACCATAATTCAGTAATGGATCAAAGAATGGCTTAGCTTTATCAGCCGGTACATTTATACTTGGTACGTGTTTCATTTTTCTTGTTGACTTCATTCTATCATTGTCATTGTTGACTTGTTGATTACATTCATTGCATAAATAAAGTTCAGTAATTCTGTCGAAGACCCATTGTTGATTTTCAATATTAAATTTTCCACATTGTACACACTGAGGAGCTTGTAAACATTTTTTTGAAAATTTTGTTTTTGGTGGGAAACAATAATAGCAGTTGAAATTTGATTGTTAGTTGTTTTTATCAAAAAAAAACATATTTTAAGAGAAACAATATCGATTGACACACCTTGATATGAAAAAATGTTGGAAGTTTTACTTGGATTTTTCGACGAAAAAAAAAGTTCAGTTACCTAATATTTAGTAAACTTCATTGTAGAACTGTAATCGTATTTTCCCATTTGACTACCTATCCAGATTCACCAAAGCGATATTCTCATAAACCCTTTTTCAATGATTTAGAACTTTCCTTAACGATACGTATGTGAATGTTGAAATAAAACGTTTTATGTTATATTTAAAAAGAAGCTTCTCTCACATGTTAAACTAGTGAACGGTAGTGTGATGATAAACATTAAGAATAGAAACATGTTATAAAGACAGTACAGTGATGTATTGACACATAGATTCTCAACAATAATCAAAGTGGAATCTTACCTTCCTTATTAACTGAGATTCATGAATTCTTCTTTCCAGAAAAGATTTTTAGTTTCAAAAAGTTCCCTTTTTGCCAAAAATTAACATTTTCTTGGAGTAATGTCTTCAGAAATGCTGATAGCGAATGACTATGTTGATGCTTAATGGTTTCATGAAACGTTTTCGTTTCATTCTCAGTTAAAATCTAGACAAAACTATACTTTCTTGTTAAATACTATCAAGATAAACACAATTTACGGTCATTCTCTTAGACTAATATTATCTAAATAAGTACTGGGGTGTATTGGAATATTTTGATTTGATCGACCTCAGTGTTGTTCAGTAAGCTCTCGTGATGAGAGCGTAAACAAATATTTGTTGAGCTATGAGTTATTTTTCTATGCCAACCAGTCCAATCTATCCCCCATATTACAGATTATCTTTTGTTCGTTTGGATATTTCTTCAAAGGGATCTCTTCATTTCACTAATCATTCCGTTAATTTCAATAATCGCGTTCAAAGTAGTCTAATTCTCGAAAAATTACAACACGAAACGGCTATTGTAGTTAGATTATTCCCAAAGTATTATTTCTGTCACAAATATTAGACACAGTATGACCTTACGCTCCATCTACCATAAGAGAACGTAAAAGATTGATATTTTTGTAAATAATGCTTTCTAATATTAGTTTCATAAATTCTAACTCAGTAAATTTCAGCAAACAACCGTCCATGTTCCGCACATAACAGACACACCCACATGGTATATATACAGATTTTATATACTCATACATTATGAAAATAAACATACAAGTATAGTGAGCAACGCAGGTTGTTGCAGCAATAGCAATAACAATTTAAAAACTTGTTTTTGTAAATCGAAAACAAAACATAAGCATGAATATGCTTGCTTTTTAGATCGAACTATTTAAAACATATTTTCCTATAGAGAATACATCGTTCATCTGTCCACCTGATTGTTATTTTAGTTAAATGTTTTCCTTACGATTTCAGTGTCTACTTACCTAACTAACTTACCAATCAACGTACTCACTAGCTACCCTACCTCACTCTAATTTATTCATATAAGAAGGGATAAAATACGGTGGTGGAGTAAGTAAACGACAAATAGAAAGACAAAGTGAGAGAACTCGCTGAAAAATACAGAAAAATATGCATATATATATATATATATATATATATATATATATATATCCATCGACATGGTTGAGATTTGTGACCGCTGTCATTGTCGTGTTTGCTCGGCTTATCAGTACGAGTAAGTAAACAGAAAAATGAACTTCATGTATTTGGTGAAGTAGGCGGTGATGATTAGTGTGGTGGTGGTGGTGGTGGTAAAATTGTTGTTGTTATGACCTAAGGTACAAATATTGCTCTTATTTGATTATTAGTTATGATATGGTTTATTAACGAGGGTGGAGACGAATGAAGTATGAAAAAACTGAAGGAACATAATAATAGCGATAAATGAGCAATTATGGATTCTCTCATCCCGTACTCTTCTAATGCTGAAAATATATGTTAAATCTTACCACCCCAATTTGTAGTGTGTACATGCTGACATATCCCTATATTTAGATACAAACATTCAACATAAATGAATACGTACAGTGGAAAACCGAGACTGTATAAAACTTCGTTTATAGTGGGACAACAACATATGCTATATGTTTATTAAAGCAAGCAAATAATCGCTATTTCAGGACTTAATTCACTCGAAAATATAAAAAACATCAGAATAATAAAAAAATGTCTTGTTAAATAAAGTCCTTCCTACTAGTCAGAATACTAATGCTGACGAAGTCAATAACTATTTATGAGACTACTTTTTATTATTACACCAGAGACAATAAAGAAACTACTTATGGTTTTTAAGTAGTAGATATCATGCAAAAGTTAATTTTTTTATAAAAAGAACAAGTGGTAAGTTATTTTATTTGCTACAAGTGGGGTCATGAACAAAAACGTAAGCAACATGTATTTGCATTTTTCTAGAGTGTGAAATTTCAAACGGGTCTGTCAATTGCTGAGGATATCAGATGATGTTCAGTATAGATTTGTGTTTCAATGTAACTTCGATTATTCAAAATAAATTAGAATAGGTAACAGTGATAAATTTTTATTATAAATATTCTAAAAGTTAAAAATATATTCAGCTGTAATCAGTTTATTAGAAGTGTACTGACGGAGATCTATTTTGGAAAGCTGTATATTTCACACTAACTAGATCCAGTCAAGTGAATTAAAGCAAAGTGATATTCCGAAGTTTTTTGACAGTTTGAAAAGAGTAAATTCTTGTATAGTATTTTTTTCATGACAATATGAGTTTTTGGAAAAACAATATTTTAGGTTGTGGTTAGATAGCATCTACTCATACTGTAGTGTCATAGAGACAGTATTTGAATTGTGCGCAATGGTATATACGAGGTGATACCTTACTATATATTAAAAGATTATTTGTAGAATATTTCATTGTCAAACATTGAAGCTATCAAGAGATCTAATGGATCATTGCATGTGACTGTAGTACCTGGTAGGAAGTAGTTTAATTTTAATGTACAATTTCACGATTAATGTCTCTAATACAATAATCAGATATCGACGTTCAGAGAATGTAACCAATCGTCTATGTAGGGACTTTCGGTTTATGGTTGATTCCTCTTTATTACACATTGAGATCAGCCATAGAGTTATTGAAAAAGGGCAAACTCTAACCAACTGTTTTGTTTCAATTTAAAGTTTTTCGTGAAGATTTCATTATGAAAATGCCTGTAAACAGTAATTGCTAATTACAAACTTGGTAAGATCTTACAATACAATCATTTTTTGAAGGAAGGTTCAATGTTTTGTATTTACCGAATCATCTTGATGGTCATTACTAAAAGATCAATTTTACCTGAGTCAGATAAAGTTTATATAACTAATAATTCTACTGAAAACTTCCAATTAATGTTAATATTTCTTGTGTGGTTGATACTATGAAAAAGTATTCGAAGTTGCCACCTAATCCAAATGACCAATATCACCTTCGGAAAAGCTAATAGAAAATATTAAAATCTTACTTTTATACTTATACTGATATTACTGTCGAAACAAAGCTATAGTATGTATTTGAAACATTTGAAACTGGAGAGAATGCTAGATAGATCAAGTTGTTTGAGCTAAAAATGAGAACTGTGTTTAATTAGTATAGTCTGTGAAACAGAATTTAATTTGTTGGACAGTTTACCACTTAATGTTTTCTTTCAAGGGGCAACTATTCATTGAAACTGTAATGTAAACTGGGTATTGTGATTGAAGTATTTCACCGTATGATATCAGTTAGATTAAGTGTTATTTTAAACTCGTTTATCTTGAGAAAACAGATGTTAGAAAAAGCAACTGAGGAGCACACACCATTCAAAAACAAAGAAAAAAGCACTATATGAGAATAATTTGACTACACAAAATGGAAAGTATTACTATAAAAACCAATTCTATTAAAATAAACACGTCTATACTGAGGCTTTTTTAAACTTCCCAGACTATATCATTTGAAACTTTAATCTCCGCCAATGAACAATCAATTTTACAAACTATAATACATCATAAACATATACATGCAAACACACTATTTCATAGTGAAATTCTCTGAACATTAGTTTCACAACTAGTATATGAACATGGTGGAACCAGGTCGAAGAGGAAACTATATAGATGATATGGCTACTCATTAGTTTACATCTGCAACGTCGCTAACCTGTTATTTTCTCCTATTGCCATCATAAACGCTCTTCGTCTCAATCGAATGAATTTTCTTCGATGGAAAAGAAGGAGAAGTAGTAGATGAATAACTAGAAGGCAAGCGAGAATGTGAGCGAAGGGGGAGGGTAGGTGTTTCTACATTTTCCTTACCTAAGTATTCTTTTGCGAAACATCACTTCTCAAGAAGCGTGCCTACACATATGGACGCGGAAGTTACTGATTCTTTATAAATTATATAAGCGTATTTGTTTGCATCGTAGTTTTTTTGTCAGAATTTGCGTATGCTATTGCTAAGCTAAATTAATCACGTGACATTTATTTACTCATTCTCTTATTCACATCAGGGTTTTTTTTCTGTTTCAATGAGGGGTGGAGTTGAGTGTGAATACCTTGAAACATTAATATAATCATTCTGATAAATAAACAATCTTTCAGTAAGTTACGTCTATGTGCCTATAAAACGATAAGCAGGTCTTAACTTTGATAAATAAAATACATAGCTACACGCTTCCAGGTATATGTACACAACAAACAAACACATCATTGAATAACAGGTATTAATATTAAAAAAGTAGTGAATAGGGATGCTAGTAAAGTAATCATTGTCCTTTCGAAACTTTCCTAAATAATAGACCCCAAAATCTCAATAATTACAATATAAATATCTCTTATTAGGCGTAGATGGTTGTGTCAATCTGTGTAAGCTCTGATATTTATAAAATAACACAAGGGCACACTAGCACATATTTTGTACTCTACTTGTTGTTTACTATCCACTCATCTTTTTTATATTCTAGCTTGACCGTGATAATCAATTGCATTTCATTCAAATTCAGAATCAGCAGTATTTTTGCTGTTGACTTATTCAATATTCAGCTAGCTTTATTAGAATTACTATCATACTCTCTCTTTAAAGATAATTATTAGGCGTCACTCAAGAATGCCGATGTAGCTAACATTCTGGATATCAACTCAACATTTCAGATAGTTAAAGGTGATCGGCAAAAGTCAAAGGTGTATGGTTTGTCATTGTTTTCAGTTATAAAAATTGAATTCACCTCAGTCAACGGATGCAAAGTCACTGATGTAAATTTCTAAGGATTCGTGCTGGACAAAGATTAGCTAGTGATTTGGATCAGTTAAGTGAATGTTCTTTCTTTAGTGTGACAATGATCATGAAATCAGATGACCATAGAAATCGCTCATTGTATTTTTCTAACTGTGTGGGTATATGAACGTATGAAATAATTTATACAGTGATGTTCTAACTTTCTGTAAACAGTATTTTAGATTTTCAGGAGTTCCCGACAAATTTCATCATGCTTTGAAAAAAGCGTTTAATAACTTTTGAGTCTAATTATTCTCAAAGTCGAATAAACGGGCTGGCAGAACGACTACCAAACATAATACATGTGAACTACTCATTATGTGATGATATAGACGTTAGTAGATATGTAAATTCATATTATATTGTAGACGATATATAAATTAACACAAAGCACTCAGTACACATCATTATAATGAAGCGAGAAAATTGTAAACCGTTTATTAACTTTCAACAGTAGGATAATTCATGTCAATATGTAACACGAACCTTAACATAGTGTAATTGTCGGTTACTTTGCCTAACTAAAAGTCTATTTCCTGACTTTTCAATAATCGAAACTATTAAAATAGGAATGAACTTACAACTAAACTTCTAGGATCCATTTACGTATGTGATTTAATATTGTTCAATATTAGTTCATCTAGTTTTTAGCCTAATAGTTTAGGATTTAATTCAGAGATAAATGAACAAAGCACAGTGACGAATAGTTTAATGTTGTGTATCTTCACTAGATATGAACTTACGGTAGCATGAACGGTTATTAGAAACTAATTAGTAAATTAGCTCGACAAGTGTTTTAAATTCAATGGAATAAGTATCGATCTATACTAAACGATTTTGAGTTAAACAAATCATATTTGATTGAAAATTACAATAAAGGGATCCTGTAATATGATATTAAACAAGCAAATTTAACGTTGTATTTTATTAAGATTGATCGGCTTTATTCTCAAAAATACTGAGCACTAGAGGAGCTCTAAACTGAAGGTTGTGGGTTCGATTCACTCGTGTGGAATCATAGATGCGCACTGTTGAGGAGCCTTATACTAGAATGAAACGGTCGTCCAATACTTCCAGATTTTCAATGATGGCCTTACATCGATAGGCTTATGATCTCACTTAGTACTACTTTGTTTTTGGTACTAAACACGGTTAAAGTTCTCAGAGTTGTAGATAATAACCCTGTAAATTTCTATTTAGTAAGGAGCTGATTTTAATTACAAAACATCTCAGAACTAAGCAACAATATAAAGAATGGTAGAAAGAGTACACAGAGAGAAAATCATATAAACAGTGGTCAAAAAAGTATACGTTTATGCGACTATGGTCAATTTCAAGTAAATAATTGCATAAGGTCCACTACTATACAAAATACTTGTTTTGATAACCTCAGATATACATATATATGCATTTATACACTGACGACTTGATGTATTGTCAAAGTTGAAAAGTATAACCAGGATCAGTACTAACTGTATCTACTCTCCTTATTACAAGTATCTATGATTACATACACAACAATATTGTACATATGATAAAACATTAAATGGCATATATATAATCTTGGTATTATAGAATATAAATAAATTTAACGTTATCTATTAATATTTACTTTTATCAATTCAGATTAGAAAAACACTATTCGAATGGAGAGAGGAAAAATTAATAATAATCTCCCATTCGACAACATGATGAAACTAATTTGTACACTATACCAGCTATTACGCGGATTTTGATAGCTGAACTCATCATGGTGATATATTTTATTGTGTTTAAACATTGATAAACGGCTTTTCAACACCGATATAAATCAATATAACGAAGAATATTGGGTAAATAGTGATTTTAAAAATTAGGTAATTAACCAACATTTAATATAACTGAACACTCAACCCATCCTTGCTGAGTTTTAAACTGCTTTTGTAGATATTGAATTCTCTGAGCTGGATGATTAACCCGTATAGCTTTCATTGCCTTTTTGGACATCATCAGCACATATTTCGGAAAGTGTACTTTTGAGAGATATAAAGGATGGATACATGCTCTCGAATATACTGACCTCCAGTCTCTTCTTTGGTATAGTCATTATCCTTTTTTAGATAAATACAAAATAGTGAACGAATTCAATATTTTGACACTGTTTACTAATTTACTTTGAGTTAAGGCAACTGATATTACTTAAATGACAAAAAGAAACCTTTAAATCATTAAACTCAAGACCAGTGATAAATTTGGATCTCGTTTTAATTCAAAGTATGGTAAGGTTTACGTACCATAGTCTTGCCCATGAAACATAGCTCTAAAGAAAATATAGTATGAACTGTCAGAAAGAAACGAAACAAGCTCGTAATATTTTAGGTCCCACGATGGTTGTCTGTATTATTAGTAACTCATTTACCATGTACAGAACTGTGTACTTGGTTTCGGGGCAAACTATAAGTCTGAGAGCTCACGACACTACCCAACTGCCTTAACTGAAGTAGATGGAACGGAATTCAAACCTGGGAATTAGTACCTAAAAGTTGGAATTCCTAACATCTAAACTATTGATTTACAAAGATCTGATGGATATGTGGTTCGAACTCACGTTCCTTCAGACTGGTGCCTAGAACTAGAGCCTCAGACTGCTCGGTCACTCAATCGACAAACAATGTTTGGATAATATCCACCTCCAAAAATCAACGTTCTTTTTACTAAACAAAAAGTAAATCGTTTTTATTGATTTACATAATATTATGAAAACATCTGTTATAAAAAATTCCAAAAGTACGAAGACTTATTTCTCGTCATAGAAATTTAAAAGATCATGAAATTCCTTGAACATTGTTTTTCAAACCCACTTAACACTTTACTTCTTCCTTACTTCGATACACTTAGAAGAACGTTTTATCTGTGGGTTCAGTAAAACTCAAACTATCACATGACTTCAAATACATGTCGTTTAATGTAATTCGATTATTTTCTTAATATTTTATTGTTGTTCTCCGTTTTCCAGGGACATTTGAATTTAGTCTAACTTTTTCTAAATACATCGACTCAAGGGAATCCATATACGATCGGCTTTTTAGTGATTATTCTCTTATCTAAAATTCCTCCAGTAGAGTTTCATTGTATCGTTAGGTAAAAACGCTGACAAGATGCAAGGTATTCAAAGTGTATCAAATGATAATTTGATGACATTAAACAACCTGTTCATCCCTAGAAAACGTAGTTTCATACTTTACAATCGATCTTCGCTAACGCCGAGTCTATGAACAAGAAGTGGAGTCACTGAGTATGTTTGGTACCTTATTTTAAAAGTTTTATTACCCCAATTGAGTTGGTGAAAGCGAATTTTAGATATTGACATCAAAAGATCATCTGGCAACTGTCCCGGAAATTTTTTAACTTCTCAAGATGTTATGAACCAGTGACTTGAAAGAATTTATTTTTTTACACTTCCCTAAGTTTGGACATCTCATCACATATCTATTCATATTCCTCGTCTACCTATATCTTGTTCGTCTGTTTTAATGTTTTCTTCCTCTGGTGCTTTTCTTTTCTGGGCCATACAAAAATATGATCAATTGAGCCAGAGCACTTTTATGGAAGTCTCTAAGTTGTTGTACCAAGCTGTTTTGCTGATACGCTATATCTAATGATTCTAGCCAAATAGTCAACTTTATTATAAGTTGCAAATACTTTTCACCTAATTCATACTTTGATAAAACTTGTTAATGAAGAACAGCTTTATGTGCTAGATTTCAGACCTCAAATTTTATGTGGCTATTATTGATGATACCCAAATACCCAGACCTAATTAAACGAAATGGGATTTAAACTTGTAACCTAATGCTTAAAATTTGATTTCTCTAACCACCAAATCACTATCTTACTATCAGTTCACCGTTACGTATATTCGTAATTATAGATTCAATGCTATAGTATATACACAAAATATATTTAATAGTCTTTGTACAAATTCCTCACTATAACCAGGACTTTAGATAGTATTCTTAAAAAAGCAAATGCAGTGAATATCTTATGTAAGGTATTTATAATCCTGGTTCAATTCACTATGATTTTTTATTCATGTATTTGAGATTACTAATCATATTTACTATTTTGGGATTTTAACACTTAATGTGGCTAGTTTCTGAAGTAGACTTTCATCGGACATTTAATTAGTTTTAATATAGTTAGTTTCAATGAGCTGACAAGCTATAGTTATTTACTTCTGAATGGTTCTAAATATATACAGGAGAATATTCAATATTCTTTGTTTTCCACTAAACCACATTCACCTCCAAATAAAGAAACAAGGATATAATCCAGCCACTCAACAAAGTATTTAGGTAGTCTAATTAATGGTTATTAAATGTCTATCTCAAACCAAAGAAAGAAATACCAAACAGGAAAAGTTACCATGTTAAGAGTAAGTATGCTTGATAAACAACATAACTTACTTTCGTGGAGCACAGATTGTTTGTCTATGGTTGCTTGAGAGGTATATTCCATGCCAAGCTTATTGATTACTGAGTGAGATTCACTTTCAAGAAGGTCGTCTGTGAGTTGCTGTTGACGTTGGTGTTGGTGGTGCTGTTGTGCATTAATCATCATCAAATGTTTAGGCATCCATTTCACGGTTTCTGTTGGTGTTGGAAAGTGAAGAAACAACTTTTTTTGTCGATACTGTTGTTCCTGACGACGTGAACAGGGCATATCAGCTAAATCATATTGATGTTTATCACTACATTCTATCGAATTAATTTGTGATGGTACGTATGAAGCAATGTCAGTTTGAGGAAAACAGTGATGTGACTGCTGTTGCTCAGACGATGATGATGATGATGATGAAGAAGAACACGATGATGAATAGTTAGTTGAAGTCGAATGCTGCATGTCATGTTGTATCATGCAAGGATGAGTGGTAACCTGAGCATGATTTACAAAGTTTGTGATAGGTTTTTCCACCTGTAATGATTCATAGTTATGAGTAAGTGAAGCAGAAGGGGAGGATGGAAAGGCTATTGGTAGTGACAACGAAGAATTGTATATATTTGAAGGATAATTACAAATAGAAGATTTGATAACCTCTTGCACTGTGTGACTGACATCAAATGGTTCTTCAAATCCTGCTGTGTTATTTGGGTTGGTGCAATTATTGAATATCCACAAGGAATTTTTATTCGGATAAGTTGATTTGCCATCCATATAATCATCGGACCTTTCGTTAACATTATTATCTTCATTCTTAGTTTGATTATATTTTTCCATATTTTCAGTAATACAATTCTCATTGAGACATTTTGAAGTATTATCTAGCACTAAAGAGTCTGATCTTGTAACATGATTGTTAAATGGATGTAGTGTATTAACAGCTGATAATGAAGGTAGCGGTGAATACAAAGATGGTAATATTTCAACTGATGAGTTTCTGACTAACTGATTACAGTTCGACAAAAGTTTAAGAAGATTCGGATTAGACTGATTCATGTAGTATGGATTATCAGTATGAATGACCTGATGATAACTCGTAATATTATTATTTTCTTCAGTGCTTTTGCTATTAATTATCTCCATATCATCACATCTGCTATCACTTTCGTTTGATATAGCCAGTTGATTTGTAGGCAACTCAACAGAATTTCCCAAATTAAGTTTAGACGTAGAGAACTCATCACATTTCAGAATGGTTAGAGAAGAATTAACGGGAGACGAGATTTTAGGTCGAAGAGAATTATCATTTATAAAATTGTGTTGTTCATTGTTCAAAACACTGGAGAATGGATCTTTGGATTTTGATAAAGATGTAAACTGAGAAAATGGGTTGGGGTTATTATCTGAAAAATTGGTTGTCGATAAATTGAGATTATAGTTTGTAGCTGGAGTATCACAGTCTGCACAAACATTCATACATTGTGGTGAAAATATAGAAGGGGAATTTCGCTTGCAACAAGTACATGGATAAGGGATTTTCATATCCTGATTTGAACCACTTGAAAAGTATAACCTATTTTGCAATTCTGAATGATAATAATTCTTGGAACTAATAGTATTTGAATCAACCATATTATATGGAGGATTCCCTTTTAAGTGTTATAGGTCTTATGAAATTCTGAATTATTTCATTCAAAGTATATTATAGTTGTGTCGAATAATTCACTGTACTTATTTTTATCCCAAAGCAGTTACAAAGTTAATTAAACTTTTAACACAAGTGTATTTGTATTTATTTTAAACGTTTTACTTTCGCTTGACCAGATTAATTGGATTCATGTTAACAAGTAGTTCACAGTAAACTATTCAAATTAAACCTACAAATAAAACAGAAGATATTTGAGTTAAGTGGACTATGAGAAATTATTTAAAACATAGATATACTTTCTTTTTATTCTAGACTCGTTAGAAAAAGGAGAAAGGGGCTTGATGTGAACTACTACACTTGGTAGTTGTACATACTTTATCTACCGGATGTTGCCTATAAATCACTGGTATACAAGATAATGATCTGTATTTTAGACCGATAATGAGAATAATCATGATATCTTAAGTCACTAATAATCATAATAATAATAATAATTTAATAATATATTATAAATGGTTCTTTGATTACTTCTTAATTGGTTGACTGTATATTCCGGATCCTCGTGATGACGACCTGAAGGTGATGAATGTAATCATTCCTTACAAATGGTTGTTTCTAACTCAGTTAATTCAATAACCGATTTGATAAAGAATCGGTATCAGTTTAAGAGCAGATTATGTGTCGAATTTCGACTGCAACTTACAGTGCACACTGAAGGTAAGGGTATTTAAACTTCTGATCTTACATCCCTGACTAACAATTATCGATTAATGGCTTAAACGACTGGTGAATAAGGTTTATCAAGAGCTGAACTATTTAACTACTCTGACTCAAGAAATAAGATTATTTTGATTTTCGGCTTCAATATTAATGGTCGCTAATTAAAAAATATTAACCTTGTATCCTATGTACTTTTTCTAAATCAATTATTTGTTTCTTTTTTGTTAAATGAATTTGTGAAATAATCCAAATTTAGAAAACTAGACAACGTTGACTGATGCTTATATCATACTAATTACATTTTTACTTATAAACCTCAATTTATACACAATTTTTAAATGTCTCAACAAATTTAGTCAAAATATTAAGCTTCAAATAGGTCAAAGGTACTCAAAATCACTAATGCCATCAATCGTCAATTGATCCATTCTGGTATTACGTAACAGATGTATTTCATTTTTATAAATATTCAGTAATTGTTTATTATTTCTTTATTTCAAAAAAGTAATCATAATGAACCAAATGTACACTGACTATTCTATTGATTAGTAAATAATGAAGGATGACTAAAAGAAAAATGGAGTGGTGGAGAGAAGGAATATGAAGTGATTAGTACGTTAACCTCATTTGTTATTTATTCTCGAATCCATTTTTGTGATACAATCCTTTCTATCCCTCTATAGACATATATTTTCCATATAACTATATATACGAATGTACAGCTTAAGTAAATTATTTCGTCGAAAAGAAAAATTTTCTTCGCTGATTTCTCTTTTTCTTATTCAAGCGCTTATATGTTGTTAAGACATACAGTTGCCCACGATTAGCAAGCTATAATTAGGATTTTGTTGTGATCTGAAATATTTGAATGATAACTACCACGTCAAATAACAAACATGGTCTTTATGATTCATGGTTAAATTCAAATGAGTGACATCTATGTACTCAGTAGATTGTAGTCATGTGAAAAGTAATAAAACGCTCATTTTAATAACCGTCAATATTCTTCGATATAATAGTAACAGTCGTATTTCTAAAGGATATCGGGGAATAAAAATATTGATTTCCGATAAGAAGTATTGAACTTCTGAAATAATTACTACTCAGTAATAACATTACTGGTCATTAACCACAGCATTCCACATTAGGGTGTATATAGTATGATTGTCATAATGCTTTATAAGATAGTCAGCAGTCGGAGAAATGAAGTAACCGCAGTTACGGTTATTTAAATAACGACATTTGACTACAAAAAGTTCACTGAATCATCGGATTTTCAAAACCGTTCAACAGAAATGTCATGTATCCTAGAATTTATATATATTATGGAAAGAGGGGAAACTGTAAAGAAATTGAATATCTCGACCGAGTTCAAGTCTTATGTCATTCATAAATATTTCAACCAATATTTCACCTGCAGATATTTTGCTTGCGAGATACATTGTTTCTGTATCAGGAAAGTATGGATCATGATCAAAACTAAGTGTGTTTCTTTTTAAAATCCAATATCAATACAATGCGGCACTATTAACTCTAATGATTTACTCTCCGAGAATGCATCGGTTGTAGTCATGTTTAAAAATAACTTGATCAAATAAAAAAACAAATATAAGATTGATCAGATGATGCTACGTTTATTCACTGATTGACTTAAAACCCATAACATTTAATTATTTCTCATCCGAATTTTGTAAACTGTTCTTTATTCAAATAGAATATACAATAAAAAGCCTAATTTTGTGAATACTACTCATCATTAGATAACTTTATCCTAGTATTCGTTTGATTAGCATGTAATTTAATCACTTATTAAAATGTATACTTGCAATAATAAGTGGGATTGGTGAGGAAGGGGTTAACCTTCCTAATTTAATAGTTTAATAATTAAATATTAAACAAGATGAACACTTACATGAAAGTTGATTTTCATTGAAACTTTTCCTTTAGGATAGTCAAAGATTTTGTTATCCCCAAGAAATACACGAGTTGATTTCCTATAAAAATAATCCACAAGAATTGTCTGACTAAATTATTAACTAACCTTTTTTTTTAAAAATTATTATAATGTATCTCATCAACTGATTTCTATCCAAGAAATTATGGGCATGCGTGTTGCGAAAATTGGCCAATCAGATTTGAAAATTATCAAAAATTTAGAGGTAGACATTTTCTGCTTAAATTTAAAGTATCCAATGTCTATTATGAAAAAGACACACTATCAACTAATAAAATGAATACTTGTCGAGTTTACGATTGGTTATTTTGTTAGCCCTGTTGGTAAATTTCTTTTAGACATTGTAATATATATTGGAATTAAATGATTTTCGTTATCTATGTTCTTTCAGACTATCAATTTTGTGTGTGAATTATTCCTCTCCCCCCATGCTGAAGAAATGCTTGTACTCAGTAAATGTATTTCAGTCAATTCTAATAATAAGGGTTTTGCTGATAAGTCACACATTAACTATGACGACAGATATTCAAAACTAAGAATTGATAGATTCTGTGACAAATCTTATTCTGGATTGTTATCGATTTAATACTCAGTAGGTTTGAAATTGTAATATACTGGGATGAATTTCAAGTGAATTCATGATAAATGCACTCTAACAGCTTTCGGGGATTAGTTAACAAATACAGTAGATGTCAGTTCAGTAAATTGATCCTAGTTTATAGTTTAAACACTTATCGTTTGATGCCTTTAAACTATCATGTTTCATCTCAACGGATCAAGGTTGTTTGAACTGTGTTGATATGTGATCGACTGGATAAATTCATGCGAATAAATTAACTACTGTTCATCAAAATTAAATTTTTAACAGAAAGCCTCCAATGAGAGGATATTAAAAATATAGAAATGGTTATTAAGAAGAAGCCATTTTAACATGAAATATGATTTCATAGGATTGACGCATCTAATTATCTTAACATCTATAACACTGAGGAGAAATTTGTAATGTGAAATTAACTGGGTACATGTTAGTGTAAAATACAACAATGGTCTATCAATAACTGGACTCAATATCCAGCCTTATCAAGACAGAAATTATCAAAAATACCTTATGACTTGTCCGTAAGATTGAATCATATTCAGTATATTGTAGAAATTCTAAAGAATTGAGTGTTTATTATGCACATACATAAATGGTTATTTTATATAACTTCCAAAACACTCCTACTATGAATCTTAATACCCAACCTTTCTAAGGCGAACAAAAATAAAATTAGAATAAAGATTTCACAAAAGTAGCTCTCATGTCTAATGGTAATAAACAAACAAAATTGGCCGACTGAATGGTAGAGCTAAATTCGTAATTATCAGAATAGGGTTGTGGAGATTAGTGAGTTTTTAATTACAATCATGAACCGATCGATGTTAGACCACCATTGGAAACCTCAAAGCACTGGAAGGCTGTTTCTTCCCAGCACGAGACTCCTCAGCGATACGCATCCACAACTCCACACACCGGACTCCAACCCACGACCTACGTCAGAGCATGTGGTCTAACATTGATCGGTTCATGATTCCAGGTAAAAACTCCACAATTTCCACAACTCTATACTGATAATTATCATGTGATCACTGGCGGCATGCTTTGAGAGATAATTCTTGATGTTTTACTGAGAATCCGTGACCAGTGGAGGTAATTGCTTGTTGGAGACAATGCAGGGTGGTTGCACAATATTATGGATAGTTGAAGTCAGATATTAAAATCGTTGGACACCTGCTCGGTGGTTTGGCAGTTAAATGTTTGCGCGCGGTCGTAGGTCGTGGGTGAGCAATGCTGAGGAGTCCTATACTAGGATGAAACGGCCTTTCAACGCTTTTAGGCTTTCAGTGGTGGTCTAACATTGATCGGTTCGTGATTTCAGTTTAAAGTTCACAGTTGTACAGTTTTATACTTATCTCATACAGATGTTAATAATAATCCATGTTATTTCAAATGATATGAAGTGTGTGATAAGCTTAACTTTCAGCAGTCATATAGAATTGTCACTTATTCTATACCTCTTACAACTTGTGCAATACAAAGCACAGCATAATCAATGGTGTTACTTCGTAAACAATAAACATTTAACACGTGGTTTATTAGTAGTAATTCTCGTTTAAGTTATTGGATGTAATTTAATTTGAAAATATGATACATTGTATCATATATTTATTTATTCTTCTGAATCAGAACTCAGTAGGCTAATTGATCATTTCAGACTGAATCCAAAGATGAAACGTGTATTAATTGACTTAAAGATTTTGAAGTTCATTTACGAATATATAATGAAATTCATGTACTTTTCTAAACCTAAAAGTATCTTGACTATTTATAAGTCTAAACATAAAATACCGGAAAGC